TAGAAGCAAGTGGCTTCATTCTAATCTGCATCCATGTAGCCTTGTATTTGTGGCAATCCTTTCTTCTGTTTCCTCACCTCTCTCTTCACCAGTGATCTCCAAACAGTTTAAAAGCTATCCCTCTCTTATTGCGGCACAGGAAATCTTGAACAATTCTCTGGACAAAGTAACTTGGGACAGGAAAACTCCATGGAATGCTGCTAAACAGTGTGGAGTTCATTGCCTACAACCCTCCAAACTGAGACCATGCAAGACTCTTGACTCAACCAAGAAACCCACTGCACAGCCCAAGTTAGTCTCAGCATAACCTACCTCACAAGAGTTGTTTGGGGGGGGGGAACATGGAAGGGCAGATAAAGTACCAGATTCCTTCTGGAGGAAGTGCAGAAACATAAGTACAGTGGAATAGGTAATTAGAAAGGAAAGAATAGGAAAGCCTCCCATTTCTCCTTTTCCAGCTGGTTTCCTGCTTTTTATCTCACATTTGATATGTTTTTATGGAGCCATGCCTTTCATTTTTGGCTGATATTTTGAAGGCCATTGTTTCACAGAAATATTCTACTTATCGTCTGGATACAGAAAGTTTCACGTGGCCTTTTTCAGATCATTATCCGATGTGCAAATGTGTTGATTTTGCTATATACTCATACAGCTCAGACATGATTGGCAGCCAGTTCCTACAGCAAACCAGAGGTTGTTGTCAACACCTGGGATGCTGAGGCAGATAATGCAGTCATGACACCCATCTAGAATCACTACTGTCCTGCCCCTCCCCTTTCCTGGTATATCAGTAAACATCATGCACCTAGAAGCTCCCATAAAGTATCTGACAATAGCCTGCAGAAGTGCTGTGTTGTTCCACGGTACTGAGTGGTGGCTCCAAGCTGCCTGATAGCCATAGGAGTGGTGCTAATGTCCATCTACCATCAGTTTGTGAAGAAGTACAGATGCAGAAAGGGCCTATTATATGGAAAATGTGTAAAGGCTTCTACAAACCTTAAGCCAGTCCAAAAACAGACAAATGTGACCTTGAGATAGGAGAGTAAACACCTAGAATAAGTAAGTTTTCTGCACTGAATAGTAGAAAACTTTTCTATCAGGTTGATAGAAAAGTTCATGTACAAAACCTATTTTTTAAATCCAAATTAAAGTACAGCTATTAAATGAATGACACTTGTTAAGTCAACACTTCAGCAAGCCCCACTGATTCAACAGATCTACTCGAGTTCAACCTAAATTAGATTTAGCCTATCCAATAATTTTTTGGTTAAAAACAAAGGATAGAATGAGTAAATATTTTAGAATATTTAGATTCTTTTTTTTTACATTTAACTTGCATTCACTACTGCATGCTCTATGCTATATAGTTTCGATGGGAAAAACTGATGGGAAATGTTTTTTTTAAAAAATGCAGGAACAACAAAGTAACAAATTGGGCAACATCTCTTGTACAAGCAGCTGGCCTATTTCTGAGCTTGCACAAAAAGTAGTACTTCTTTTACTGCCTCAGAAACTGTTCATCAATGCACCAATGCATAAATAGAAAGACAGAACAGGATCCTCCCTATTGTATTTGTTTTAGGAAAAGATATCAAGATGGGATTACTTTATGAAAAGCAGTCAGCCTTTATCAATTTTTGCACTGTTAACTTGGTTAAAAGCAAATGTATCACAATTAACACAGTATATTTCAGGTATCATCTGTTATAACAAAAAAATCTGTTAAACTTAAAATCCTCTAGTAAAAATCAAACTCTCCTCCATTCATACCCAATTTGTTTTGTACTTGTAACTGTGAGGAAATCATTACATTTCTGCTGTAATGCGCAGAATCTGTACAGGTTATTCCTGTAATTATAGCCAATGCACCTGATACCACCACAAAACAGAATTAGTAAGGAGGGATAGAAAGAGACATCTATTGTTGATCCATGTCATTATAGCATGTGTTCCATCCTATTTCTGCACTGACCTGCATTCTCTTAAAAATCCACACAGAAGTTCACATTTAAATGTATATTTAAGTATTTTCACTGGATCTCTAAAGAAAAATGAACTTGAGTTGCACTATAGAGTTTACAAGAGAGCCAGTCATTCTACAGCCACCTGGGGCTTCTTACTCATCATTGTTCATCACTGGATGAACAGCCAGTCAAATGGTAAAAGCTTCCCTTTCAAATGTGGACAAATGAATGACCAAAATCTATCGCCAGAAATCTTTTTGTTACTAAAACCTTTAACTGCTGAACTTACAATACTGGCCTACTAAAATGCCTTGTCCTCTAACATTAGATTGTTTGAGTTGTCCTACAGATTAAATCTAGTTGTACATTTCTTGACCTTCTCCTTTGCATGGAGAACTTAAAAGCTTCCACAGTATTTTGGGACATTTGAGCTGGCCAACTAGAAATTACACTAATAAGTTTGTGAACATTTTTATTATGGCCAACACAGATACCTTGGCTTTTTGTGTACTCTTGACCAGGTTCATCTTTGTCCCTTTTTATTGTTGATCCATATGCACTAAATGCCACTGAGTTGGATAGTTTTGCAAGGTATATATTTTATCATGGATATTCTCCAGATCATCAGACACAAAAAGTAAAATTATCTGACAAGAACATTATTCTATCTAAGCCTCTTGCAGTGCCATATCACCTCTTCCTTCTTTTCTTATGTTCCACCTAATCGGACAATAATTTTGTTTAGATAAGGGAAAAAGTAGTTTTATATTTTATACACATTGTTCCAGTTTAAATCAATTTAAATACATGCTTTGCTAAAGGATATGTGTGCATGCACATATGCATTTCCAACTAGTGTAGATAAAAATAAACAATTTATTTAAATCACATCTTAAATAAAAATTGATTTTAAAAATCTAAATAGTAAAAAGATCGGAATGTTCCAATTTAAACCAATTTGATTTAAATCAAATTCACCTTGAAAAACAAAGAAACAAGAAACAAAAACAACAAACCACAATCCTGTGTGTGCTTAATCAGAAAACTGTCCCTCTGAGTTCACTGAAACTTATTCCCAGCTCAGCACTCAAAGGACTGCAACCTTATCAAGTCCTTCTGAGATGTTCCAGGTTTCCTTCCACTACTAGGACACGGATAAGAAAATCCATGACTTCTTTTCAAACAGTACCTACACAAGAACAACAGTTCTCAAGTCAAAGGTTTAATGAAGAAACAAAACCTTTCTTGCTTGCTTTGTGTCAACATGTAACCTTTTGATCCTGTCGCTGGTATCAGGCAATCATTTAACAGACATCCAATAATTATCTTTGACCAAATAACTTGGAACAATAGATTTATTAAGTTGCAATATTGTCATTTTGTAAGAATAAGAGTAGATAACTGACATGTTATCAGCAATGCAAGCTAATATCCACTTCCAAGGACATTATCAATCATACTGAGTTTCCAAGAAGTCTATTTTTCAAGTCATAAAAACCCAAACACAAATAGACAGACAAACAGATTCCCTCTGTTCTCCTCTTCCTTTTTAACAAAATGCCTCTGCATTTCTAGTAAATTCCTAGGAAATATTGATTTGCCACATTACCAGGAAACTATCTCAGAAACCTAGAAGTATAAAACCAGTAGTAAAGGCACTTTCTGCTCCAGTTTAAGAGCTCTGCCTCTTTTTTTATAGCCAGCGTTTAGCACAAACCTACACAGTTGCTCCTACTAAATTGTGATATAAGCAATTTTCTTCCATGTGCTACACTGTGATACAATGCAGACCTCCTTCCGTCTTTTAGCACATGTGGCCTAGGTACTGCTGCTTACTTTGGATAGCTGTGCAATGTCACTGTTCAACTAATTACGGCTTTTTAATGGCCTGTATTACATTAGTGACGGTTTTATTAATTGGAGTGTTAAATTGTTCAAGTAACATGGAATTTTTGGACGAATAATATAATGTGAATTGTAGATGGGTCCTACAGGTCTCTCCCTCCCTCCTTCTGTCTACATACTGCAAAGACATGTAGAATGGCTAAATGGTAGTCTCACACTACAGCTGAAAGCTTTGAGGCTTAGGTAAGCCAAACTCCACCCAAGTGCTCTGTTCAAAAAGAAAGCTGCAGCTAGCATCAAGGCAGGAACAGGACACTTGGGCAAAGCTTGGCCTAGCAAAGCCTCAAAGCCCTTCTAATTTTGGCCTTCCTCCCATGTGTATCTTATTCAGGTATTTGCAAGGTTCCTAGGAGATAGGTGGAACTCCCAGAACAAAGAATTATTATATCTGTAGTTCAAAAACTCTGAAAGTACTATCCCTAGAAAAGATTAATTAGATCCCCTCTTTATTCGTGCATTCAGATTTTACACAATGATGTCTGGAGTCAATGCTGGTAACTATATCCGAGAAGTATAAGCAGAACAAGATCAAAATCAGATTGCAGTCAAGATAGGTATGTAGCAAGGAAAAAAAAGGTATGAGAAGTTTTCCAAGTTGAAATCATGTAGTAAGTTAAAGTTATTCTGACAAAAGAAAGCTCACAGATGCAGACAGAACCAAGACTGCTATTCCTTAAGCATTTAATTCTTCTGAATTCTAAAAAGAGAGAGAAATATAGGCAGAATATAACCAAATTTCAAAAGCATGAAAGTCACTGAATTTAGATCAATAAACATTTCACTTTTTCTTGCTATACAGCTAGCACAAATTGCTGCAAGAGGTATGCCTGCCTTGGCACAACAAGAAGCAAAGCTATTTTCTTCATCAGCACAAATTGGAAGTTATCAGAACATGTTGTCCTGTGTAAACTTTGTTGACTTTGCTATCAATGGGAGGAAACGAAATCAATAATGAGGGTGTGTTTTGAGAAAGGATGAGAGCTGCATCTGAAACACATAAAACCTGTTGTGATGCCATGTGTTGAGCTTATATGTTACTGTGTTTCTCTCCCTGGAACATTTTGAAAACATGGCAAGTATTAAGACAATTAATGGGGACAGAGAGAAGAAAAACTTAAATCTATGACCTACCTTGCAGAAGAGCTCCATTTCTCTTGAAAAAGGTGCTTCCTGGCCAAATAGGTGGACCTGATGTGCTAAAAGTAATAATAATAAAAAACATAAATAAGTTTACAAGTCTTATTTGCATTTAGTAATTTGCAAGGCATCATAACTATGCATTCTCCTCCTTAAAATGTGGCACCGATGTTGTCATGTTAAGACAACATTTTCCTTCTGAAGAGCGGGGCTTACATCTTCATTAAAAAGAATAATTGAACAATCACATCCTATTGACTGGAAAACATCCTCAGCACGGTGTCTGCCTGTACACATTTAAGAGATGCAAAAGCAAGCTAGAAATTTCTCCCACTTATAAATGTTTTATTAAAGCTACAGTGCAGCACACATTAAGTTTACTTCTGAAAAGCATAATGCTGCACACTCCCAGACTGTTAAGCCATATCTCTATATCCCATTTTACAGAGCATCAACTAAGTCTTGTAACAGTTGCTGAACCGTCATTGAGTCAGATGTTAGTGTACTGCATTTAACGATAATGAGTGTGGACTTTAATAGTACTGAGACACTAGTTTTTTGGCAGTGGAGACATTTTTGAAAGTGTTCATGTATACAGGCATCAATCCTCATCCTCATCCTATTAGAAATGCAGAGCTGGAAGGGACCTATGTAGGCAAACACTCTTCCCAAGCAATCTGCTGACCACTTCTTTTTTCCATCTGCTTATGGACCATGAACAAAACCCTCTATCAACACAATTTCAAATGATCTCTTGTAGACCACCTTGAGGACAATGAGAGACCTCTTCTTTCTTTCTTTCTCTGAGATCTTGGAAAGCTGCTACCAGGCTAGGCAGACCAGTGGTTTCACTTAGCATAAAGCAACTTGAAACAGACATAAATACTCATACTGTATAACAACAACCAAACACCTTAGAATTGCAGAGCTGGAAGGGATCCTATGGGTCATCAAGTCCAGCTTCTATCACGGAGGCACAGTGGGGAATCAAACTTCCAATCTCTGGCTCTGTAGCCAAAAACCACTGAACTATCCAGCATTACACAGTATATACACATATAGCATCTGTATATGTGCACATGCATTCATATGCATTATTCTGGTATATATACTGTACATACATTCACACACTTCCCAGGAGAAGATTCATACAAAGAGAGTTCCTAAGAGAAGTGTGAGCTATTCCAGGACTCCTTTGCCACTGGATATTAACTGTGTCAAGCAGTTTCAACATCTCCATATCCCCTTCTTTAAAAATCATTAATATGAAAGGCATCCTATTCTCATCTCCTCTTCTTGTTAGGAGAATTCCAGCATTATGGGAACTTGCCTTATGTACTGACTTGCAGATTTAGTTTCACAGGGTTTTTCCCTGTGGGGTAAGTTGGTTTCATCCACTGCTTTTCCCATTCAAATATACTCTATAGAAACATGAAAGAGGAAGCGGTTCTTCCTGATGACCCTCATACCATCTGGTGCATTTATCTTAAAAAAAATTTAGGCTAACAGAGTTCTCCTGATGCAGCCAAGTATGTGTCACTCAACATTAAATAGCAAAACAAACTCACCTTTTAAAGGTTTAGGCTTTAAAACAGTTTATTGATTGTCCCCCATTTCTATGCAATATTTTTGCGATTACAAAACAACCTACATGAATTGTAGCAGAGTGAGTGAGGAATCCAGTTCCAGAGCCAGCGAGTTTGATTCCTCCTAGGAGGAGAGCCAACCAGTGTAGCCTTGGGCACATTGCACAGTCCCAGAGAGCCCCTAAAGGAAGGGAACCACTTTTGCGACTGCCAAATGGCAGCTGGACTGTGGAAGCACCTCTTTTAAATCCTGCAATGCCAAGAATCATCACCAAACCATGAGGAACTGAAGCAGCAACTCTCCAAAGTTGAACACCCATCAAAGATGGGATCTTCTTCAACTGGGAAATCCGGGACTGCTCATCAGCTCGCTGTGATGAGTTTGCTATTCATTTTGAGGAAAAAATCGCTCAGATTCGCAGTGGGCTGGACTCCACTGTTACTGCAAAATCGGAAGATGTGTCCAGTGTGCCGTGCTTAGGTCAAATATTAATGGATGAGTTTCAATTGTTGAGACCCGAGGATGTGGACAGGGTGCTTGGATCTGTCCGTTCTACCACTACTCTGCTCGACCCATCTTGGCTAATTGGAAGATCTGCCGGGGGGGTGCACTTGGGTCCAGGAGGCCGTGAACACCTCTTTGAGAGAGAGAGTGGTCCCTACCGCCTTGAAAGAGGCGGTAATTCGACTACTCCTTAAAAAGCCTAACCTGGACCCAAGGCTGGTGGTTAACTACCGACCAGTGGCGAACCTCCCTTATTTGGGCAAAGTGTTGGAGCGGGTTGTGGCCGGGCAACTCCAGGCACTGCTGGATTTTCTGGATCCATTTCAATCGGGTTTCAGGCCGGGTTTTGGTACAGAGACTGCCTTGGTCACCCTGTACGATGACCTTTGCTGGGAGAGAGACAGGGGGAGTGTGACCCTGTTGATACTCCTGGACTTCTCAGCGGCTTTCAACACCATTGACCATGGTGTCCTTCTGGATAGGCTGGCTGGGTTGGGAGC